TAGCTCTAGCAACCAAATTTATTCAGTAACTCTTATATATTAATTATTAAGCTTGGCACTGTTAAGCAGCAACATTAGAAATTTAAAATACTAGCTTACAAAAAAAATCACAGTTAAAATAAAAATTATTGGAAAAATACTAGCTTACCTAACTTTCATAGTAAGGTAGTATAGGTTATTTTGTTTTTGTTTTAACAGACAAGAACACTGAGGTAAAAAAAGGCTCATTAAACACCGAGTGTCTCTAAACTAGAAAGAGAGGCCCAGAATCTAACCCAGCCATTTTTTTAAAAATCAACTTTTAACTACTATCTTTTAAGACTTCTGGATAGCTCACCTCAGTCAACGAAGAAAACAGAGGCTACCTTATCTCCACCCTCCTATACCTTCATTCCAACAAAAGTCCTCATTCCTTCTTTATTACTAAGTCTGTTGAGTGGGTTCCAACTTACAAAAACCATATGTATATCAGAGCTAAACCCTGTCTTGCCTTGAGCAATCCTCTTTCATTTGTAAAAAAAAATAAGTTCTCATGCTCATTGATCCATCCAAATGTGTGCATGTGCATACATGTGTGTGCACGACCCCGCTTTGACTTGGGAGCAGAATGTTGATTGTTGGAGTGTATGGATGGAGGTAAAAGGGACTATTAGTTACTAGCAGAGATGGACAAGTTCTAACCCAGCTAAGTTTAACGACATCTGAGCTTTTTAGAGTTTTCTAGGCACTTTGATGAAGCTCATCAGATTGGAATAATGATGCTACAGTTTGCCATTCATTCTCATTGAATTTAATGAAGATAAAGAAGTTCTCTTTATATGTCCAGCAGGGCTTAACAAATTAACCAGGCTGACAAAAGGTTACAGGAGAATAAAATATTTTTCCTTATAGTATCCATTTGGAGAGAAAGTTAACTACCTGTCTCTCTCTCTCTTTCTCTCTCTCTGTGTAAGAAAGCAAGAGAGAGAGAGACTATTCTGAGACTCAGAGAAAGCTGCAGAACCAAAATATCCTCTCTAATCTTATTTCTGATGAGTCTTTCTTTAATGTCTCCTTTCATGATCATTTCACAGCTATTACGATGAATAAGTATCATTATGTGTTTTAAAAATATTATGCTCTGTGCTTCCGAGTTAATTGCCCAGAACTAAAAATTCTGGCCCTTTTTGGAAAAAGGCATGTAACCCCAAGCCTGGGAAGAGTGGTGGCTTTGTTTGTTTGCTTCTTGCCTCCTTGTAGCAGCTCCTGGTTAGGGGATGGAAGCTGTAGTTCCTGGATGTTTTCTATGCACGTTATGACTGCACCCACAACCATCCTCACCCTAGCAGATTGAAGTGCTTTTGTGTGCTGTCAAGTTGGAATCAACTCATTATTGTGTTTTCAGAGGCAGAAAATTGCACAGAAAGAGATTATCTATCTATTTTTTTTTTTTTTTTGGTAGAGCAGGTGGTGGATTCAAGCTGCATGCCTTTGGGATTGCAGTGCAGATCCTTAACACTAGCCCACTGGAGATCCCTTACTAGGTTGAAAAAGTAACCAAAATTCTCCCCTTTCCTGAAGTGATCCCTTTTCACAATGGGTCTTTGTAACTCCATCTATATTTATTCAAATGACCAACACTTTTAATCTGGGCTTATTCAAAGGATTATTTGGTTCAAAAGAACATTAGCAGAGCTTGCAAAGCACTTGTGCTTTCAGATTTGCTCCCTGTTGATGTCCCTGGAATCTTTAGGACACAGTGATCTGAGCTTTCCTGATAGAGGATGAGAAACAACATGGAGAAGAACTAAATTACCAATGATTACGGTATCTTTTGTTAACTTTGCCTTGCTAACACTGCTTTTGTGTAAGTGTGGGTCATCCAGACACCAACAGATCTTCCCATTGACTCACTCACTTCTATCAAATAATAGAAACTAACAGAGGTAAGCAGAGCCATTCCTGACCAATACTTCCCAAAGGACTCACAAAACCAAGAATTAGATAAGATTGTCATTGTTGTAAATGCTGCGCTTTAGATCATTTATTGCATAGCTGAAGCTAATTGATAGACTCTCCCCAAAGCACATTATAGTTTACCTGAACAAGACATAGTTTATGCCAAGAAGTCTCTGAATTATGTGGAAACCAGATAATGAAAACACTAGCTTCTAAGAAATTATTTCCCCTCCATTCAAAGGTACTATTTTTTATAAGAAATATCTGGCCCTTCAGTACACATGATAGCTTTACTCTTATATCTTGGACCTATGACTCAAGTAATCAAGTACTTTTTCAATTAGCTTGTTAAAAGATCAGACTGTCAAAAATCTGTAATATTTACTGTTTTTACAATGAACTGTTTAACATGTTACCATGTTTATGTTTGGAACATATAATAGCTGAAATAGTTCCTTATATATAGTCTTGTCTTGAGTATTTAATACTATTATTCTCACCATTGGGCCAATTGGTAGCATCAGTTTGGATGGTGAGGAGATTGAGATAGTTAAGAATTTTAGTTTACTTGGTTCCACAGTCAACACTCTTGGTAACAGCAGCCAGGAAATCAAGAGATGAATCACTTTGGGAAACTCCGCTGTGAGGGACCTCTCAAGACTACTGAAGAGTAATGACGTCAGGCTGGAGACTATGGTGTGCCTGATCCAGGCTATAGTCTTCGTAATTACATGCTGTGCATCAGAGTTGGACATTGACTAGGGATGACAGAAGGAGAATTGATGCCCTTGAGCTGTGGTGCTGGAGAAGAGTGTTGAATATACCATGGACTACTAGGAGAACAAACAGGTTTGTCCTGGAAAGGGTGAAGCCGGAATGCTCCTTGGAGTCAAGGATTCTGAAGCTTCGTCTGACATACTTTGGGAATGTTGCAAGGAGGGAATGGTCCTTGGAGAGGGACATCATGTTTGGGAGAGTGGGTGGGTGGCACAGGAGAGGAAGACCCTCAATGAGATGGATCGATTCTGTGATTGGGGTGGTGGGAATTTGAGATGGAGAGGTTGGCACAGGGTAGAGCAGTGCTTAGAGCTCTTGTACATAGGGTTGTTATGAGTCCAAGCGACTTGATGGCACATAACAACAACAACAACATAATGGAAATAGTGCAAGTTAGTAGTTTTAACAAACAGAAATCTATTTTCTCATAGTTTAGAGGCTGTGGTTGTTAGGTGGTGTCAAATAGGATAAGACCCATAGCGAGACTATGAACAACAGATCTAAACTTTGTTCTATCCTGTGTCATCCTCACAATTTCTAATATACTTGAGCCCATTGCTGCAGTCCCTGTGCCAATGCACCTGGTTGACAGTCTTCCTCTCTTTTGCCACCCCTCTGCCTTTCCAAGCATGATATCTTTCTCCTAGTAACACACCCAAAGTATGTGAGATGAGGCACCTAAGCCTCCAAAGAGCTCTCCGGCTGTCCTTTCTCTCAGACATATCTTGTGTTCTTTTGGCATAGTGGGATAGTCAGTATTCTTTCAACAGTTGAAAAGCATAAATTCTTCTGTAATCCTTATTCATTGTCCAGCTCTCAAATGTGTTAACAAGTGACTGAAAAGACCACAGCCTGAATCAGGCACACTTTAGTTTTCAAACTAATGTTATTAATTCTCAATAATTCAGAGAGGTTGCTGACTTCAGACTTTTCCAGTGCAATACATCTCTTGATCTCCTGACTGCTGGTACCAACTGTACATTGATTGTGGGTCCAAGTTAGATGAAATTGTTGACAATTTCATTCTTTTCTCCAGCTATCATGATGTTGCCTATCAGCGCAGTGATGAGGATTTTTGTTTTCTTGATGTTGAGATGCAAGTCCTCCTCACTTTCAGAAAACCAGATTGTACCAGGTGTATAATGAAGGCTATTGGTGAGTTTTCCTTAAAATCCTGATGCCACATTCTTCTTCATAGAGTCCAAGGTAATTTGCTTAGCATGCAGATTGAATAGGTATGAAGAGAGAATATAATTTAACGCACACCTTTCTTAGTATTCCCTTACTCTGTCTACACAAGAGTGTCTTGGTCTAGGTCTAGAGCTTGCATGTGCACAGTTAGGTGTTCTAAGATTCTCATTATTCTCAAAATTAGCCATGACTTGTTATGATTCACACAGTCTTTATCTCTGAATTTTCAAATTGAAAGAAAGTAGAATCTCTCATTTTTAAACATATATTCTGAATATATAAGACCAACTAAAAATTTCTATTAATCTATGTAATCAGAAATACTGCTACTGAAAAATTCTGAGGCCAATGAGTTGTTTTTTTTAGCTTACTTCATTTTTGGGCTTACAAATTAGTTAAATAAATAATATTGACCTTCTAAGTGCTCACTAAAGAAAATGTTCTTTACAATGAGCTTTCACTTTTAAAAGTTATAATTATTATGTCAGCAGAAAAATAAAGTGCTGATTGGCTAGAAAAAAAAGTTATAATTATTAAAGAAATCTCACCAGCGTTCAAAAAAAATCCCCTGAAAGTTATATAAATACCATTTTTTAAAAGATTAATCCTTTAGCTAAAATCTATATATGAAAAGAAAAGTTTACTTTGCATTGTTTCATTTCGTTCTTCAAGTTTCCACTCTGCAACTTTGCTAATTGGTTCAGGTTTGTTAGATCTTCATCAGTCACACATTGTTGCAATGTGTGTTATCTGTGTACAATAAAGTGAATGCAAGAAATTGCACCAAATTTAAAAAGCAACAAATAAGGAAAAATCCAATAAAGAACATATAAAAGGTAAGGAACAACAGGGGTTTCTTTTTCACTGTTAACAGGAGTGAAATAACCCTTTAAGCTTTTATAGCTATTGTGTTAACTTTCATTTCTAAGTTGAAACTTTTATTAGCTGGTTCTCCTTTATTTCTCAATTTAAAACCATTTGACTGAATTACTTTTATTAATAGTGACATCAAGTTATTGAAATGGTGATTTCATGTAGTTTTCCCCTTAAAGATGGCACTTACTGGCACAAAGATGCAGAGATGTCTACAGCCTTCAGATGTTTACTTGAAAGGCTTCTTCAACAGCAGTTTGATACTGAGTTTCCTTATCTAGCTGAAGATTCACAAATTCTCCATAATCAAAATGATGTCTTTGATTGAGATGACTAACAAAATTTCTTGTAACCTGGCTAGGATTTCTCCAAGAAAGAGACACACAAATAGGACATGTCACAGGAACTATCTGAAATAGGTGGTTAGTATTACAGTGATTCAGTAAATGTTGTCTAGTAAAATTTGATTCTTGACACAATGGACACTTAAAGGTGGGATGCCCAGGAGAATTTATATTTTCTTGGTATGTGCCTGTGTTATCAGATGTGGATGTTTCACTCCTATTACTGTTCCCTACTGAATCTTGAGAGATCTGAAAGTTTGCAATGACAGAAGAAGCACCATATTCATCCTGATACTTCTTATAAGTTTTGTAATGATGTCTCATATGGTAGGATTTAATCTGTTTTGCACAACATCTGCAGCTACCAGAAAACTTTCTCATGATATTTTCAAGATCTAAAGCCCATTCAGGACATGCTCTCTCTCTTCTAGTCACGTTTCCACAACAGAGGGGACAATGTATTCTGCTTTCTCTCATTGCAGTCAGGAAACATTTTCTACAGAAAACATGCTGACAGGCCGCGGTCCGCACCGGTGTTTTGAGCACCTCCTGACAAATGGGGCAGTAGAAATCATCTTCGCTGTAGGATGTGGCCACTGACAGGCCCTCAGCCATGGCGAGGCTTAGGGGATGGGGGCAGGAATCGAGGCTGCGTTCCATTTATACTTTTAGGACGTTTCCATGTGCAGGGAGGGCTAGTGAAGTTGTTATGCCCCTGAACCTAAGAAAAGAAATATACGGCAAATCTTATCACAGTGCTCTAGCTAAAGTTTCTGCTTAAAATTACAAAGGGTTAAAACAGTAATAGCTTAGCAACAAATAATCTCAGAAAGCTCATCATAAAAATGAAAGAACTATTGCTCAGAAGTCCAAAGGCATACTGCAGCTCTTGGTTCCATAGGCCTTGGTTGACATGTATGGGGGTGGAGGCTTCTTGACAGCACCATTCACAGTGGAATCATCCTATGGGGGCAATAGCACTACACACAGTGTTGTTCCTGGTGACCCAAATCAGAATATCCAAGTAGTTTCTTCCATTGATGTATTGGTAACAGTTTTAGCCACAGCTAATCAAGTAACCCTTAAAACTCAGAATGTCAATAAACAAGAATAATGAGGTAGAATTAACTGACATGTTATCTTTATGGGGGAAATTAGGAGGCAGCTGTCCTATGTATACTTGAATGAAGCTGGGTTAAACAAACACAGTGACAGCAACCAAGGTGTTCAAGGCAAAATCAAATATCTGGTAACAGAAGAATGGGATGATACAGGGAGCAATGTTGCTTGTAAGAGCTGTGAGTGTCCATGACACACATCAGGATCATGAGAACAGAAATTGCGATATCAATGCAAATGTTCGCATCATCCATGAACTAGAAGTCACCATCTAGTTCGGAACTTGAAAAGTGATGCTAATGCTCAATAGAATCAACAGCATCACCTTTTTGATGGTCAAGTACCAGACGACCAGCAGGATGGTGCTGGTGCAGACACATGGCAGCACAGGCAGCAGCTGTTGGAGTAGAAGCGTGTCCAGGGCACTACCATCTTCATCATTGCTCAGGCCATAGGTGCAGTTGCAGGAGTGCACGTCCAAGTTTGTGGCTCAATCCACTTGGCTGAGGCCATCCTGGAGACACCCACACCTGTTGCGCCAGCTCTGGTGCTCAGCTGCACTTCCCCCTGACAGCTCTGACCAAGGGGCTCCATTCATTATATTTTATAAAATTAATTAACATTGAGCTATGCCCATAATTGCCCTGTCTTTTCAGATCCCCCCCAGATCTTTCGCATTTCCTTTTTCCTGTAAGATCTCATAATCTTAAATTGTATTATAACCCAAGAAGTACATAAATAAATTAATAAGAATTAATATAAAAATAGAATAATATATAATAATTTTGATCTCATGTAATTACTATTATCTCTTCAAATTGGAGCAGTCGATTATTAAAAATAATATTTTATTGTATTTTTGGTGAAAGTTTATATTAGACTAATTAGACGGGAATTGTCAAACATTTTAAGTGTTCTAAGTATCCATTTTAATGTAGCAAATCACTTGGAAACTTATCAACTTAAAACAACAACAATCTTTTTATCACCTCTCATGGTTTCTGTGGGTCAATAATTTGGTCCTTAAAAGATTCCCAATATGAGACCAAATTGTTAAAAATTATTTTAAAGAAAAGGTCAGAGTATGAGGAAATTAAACTATTGCAAATGGAACCATTAGAAAGAAAATGAGAATGTTTACACAGTGTGAAGAGTGTAATCAATACAGTGAACTAACCACTTGAGTAAAAACTATTGAAAGAGAACATAAAACACTGTAAATCTTCACCAAAAGCACAATTATATATTTTTTAAAGGAAAATTGCAGCAAAAGCACAGCTAGTTGGTTCTTACTCAGGTGTATCATGCATGATGGTGTGATCAGACAGAGGATAGAACAAGAATAGAAAAGTGAAAACAAGCTGGTGAATTCCAGAGCTCTCTGTTCCTTCACGTGGTGACAAAGGTTCTAATGTGGTTATTGTGCGAGGTTTTCTGTGAACTACCATGCAGCATTGCTGCCTCAGGATAGTCACACTGCTTACAAAGCAGTTAAAGGTTCCAGATCAGTATATCATGGTTGTTGTTGTTGATGATGTTATGTGCTGTTGAATTGCTTGCGACTCACAGCGACCCTATCTATGTACAACAGCTCTAAACTCTGCTTTGTCCTGTGCCAATCTCATTGTCTCTGACACACTCATCCTGATTGCCCCAGTCACTGAATCAATCCACGTCCCAGAGGGCCTTCCCCTCCTGCACCTGCCCTCCACCCTCCCAAGCATGATGTCCTTCTCCAAGAACCTCCTTACAACATGACCAAAGTATGTTAGATTAAGTTTCAGAATCCTCGCTTCAAGGAGCAGCCCGGTTTAACCTTCTACAGGATGAATCTGTTTGTTTTCTTAGCAGTCCATGGTACCCTCAGCACTCTTCTCCAACACCAAAGCTTAAAAGCATCAATTCTCCTTCTATCCTCCCTGGTCATTGTCCAGCTCTCTGATGCATAACAAGTGATTGCAAAGACCATGGCCTGTACCAGACACACCTTAGTCTCCAGAGACACACCGTTGCTCTTGAGTACTTTAGAGAGGTTCCTCACAGCAGACTTTCCCATTGCAATACGTCTTTTGATTTCCTGGCTGCTGGTGCCAAGAGTGTTGATTGTGGAGCCAAGCAGACTAAAGCTGTGAACAATCTCAATCTCTTCACCATCCATCCTGATGCTGCCAATTGGTCCGGTGGTGGGAATCTTTGTCTTCTTGACATTGAGCCTCAATCTGTATTGAAGGCTGCAGTCCCTTCAAGTGCTTCAGGTCCTCCTCAGTTTCAATAAGCAGGGTTGTGTCATCTGCATATTGCAGATTGTTGATAGATCTTCCACCTATCCTAATGCCACATTTCTCCTCATGGAACCCAGCCTCCCGGATGATCTGTTCTGCATACAGGTTGAAAAAGTATGGAAACAGGACACATCTCTGGCTCATGCCCTTCCCAATTTTGAACCATGCAGTGTTTCCTTGCTCTGTTCTGACGACTGCCTCTTGGTTCAAGTATAAGTTTCGCATTAGCATGAACAAGTGTTCTGGAATTCCCATTCTTCTCAGAGTCAGCCACAGTTTGTTATGGCCCACACAGTCAAACACCTTTGCATAATCAATGAAGCACAGATAGACTTTCCTCTGGTACTTCCTGCTTTCAGCCAAGATCCATCTAACATTAGCTACAATATCCCTGGTAACACAACCCCTTCTAAACCCAGTCTTGACTTCTGGCAGTTCTCGCCTGATGTGCTATTCCAGTTGTTTTGGGATAATCTTCAGCAGAATCTTGCTTGCATGTGAAATCAACGATATTTTTCTATAGTTTCCACACTCTGTTGGGTCATATTGTGTTTAGCTTTAAAAAAATCACCTCATTTCTTCCATTGTTATGAACTCAGACTCCAGGAGTGATGCTACAGATCACACATCTCAGTCAGACCCTGCATCTTGATAAATGTGGATGAAGAATAGTGTGAAACATAATATAAATGAACTTTGTAAGCAAACTAACAGGAAAAAAAAAGAGCGTCACACACATGTTAAAAGAGAAAAGGATGGGGGTAAGACTGAGAAAAACTGGATGAAATATGTTTACGGCATTGAAATCTATGGGGGAGAGAATAGTCTAAAAGTATTATATTTTAGGG